TGCACAAAATTAGCTTAATAATTAAAATTAACAAAAATTTTGGATTTTCCCCTTTTCTACTGACCGCCTCCCATATGGCAAAATGATAGTGAGATTTTCTATTGATGTTTCAGAAACTACACCTACTATTGTTACAAACTTCCTATCGTATACATTATTATAATATTGAACTAATAATTCATAAATATTATCTGGTAAAGACACGCGTTCTTTTTTTAGAGAAAGTATTTGTCTCAGAAATGGCTTATTACCAATAACGGTTTTATTATGATGATGAAAAATTTGTACGAATTGGTATGATTCTGTAAAATCCAATTCATCATAAAATGCTAAACTTCTAGCTGTCAAACGAATTCAAGAGCTTGTGTCAGTTTTGAACAATCCAACTGATTTAAAATTAATTTGTCTATTCTTAGATTTTGCACAATAATGCGTAGAAGTTCTAATTCAATTTGTCACTTACTGTTCAGAAGGGATCCTATAAAAAAAAATTAAAGAATTATTAATTATATATTTAATTATTTAATAATTTAATAACAATTGATAAAAAATCTCACCTAAAACTCCATTCATTCTTTCAAACAAATAATACCAGAATGAATACAAAGGAACATAATCATGACAGCATTTAGTAATATGAAGCAAAAGGTGTATATTTGGTATTATAAATTCTGGTTCATAGTTTTCTTTAACTAAAAGTGCTACTTGTAACAATCAGACATAAGCTTCAGTCAATATATTGTTGTCAATTATTCGACATACAAGTAATGAGCAAGTTCTAACAAAATTAACTAAAATTTCTCTATCCAGTAAATCCAAAAGATCCCATATTAATAGAGTTGTATATACTAAAATAAAAGTCTTTCATTAATCGGCAATAAAGCCAAAAAACCCTTTTCCAGTTAAAATTTTATTTGGAATCTGATCTAAATTGACGGGTAGGTTGATAATTTTTGCCTGTTCTTTCAATAATATAAGATCAATTTTGTTAGACTATAACCTTTTTACTATCTAATAGGCAATACTAAGAAAAAGGCAATGCATCGGATTAATGACAAGATATCGAATCGGTTAAAATAAGACAGCCTTAACATTTCTGACCAACGTACGTGTGTATCAGAAATATGCTGCTTTCTTTCATCTTTTGTTTTGCATTGCCGCCATCCTTCAGCATTTCTGAGATGTTCTTCAAGGTTTCGTTCTTGAAACCAATCATCTATGTCTTCGAATCCACCAAAATTTGGTTTTCTACCTCCTGTATTTGCACTATATATGAAGTCAAAATGGATCATTTCAGATATCCAAAATGGTCGAAATGGTCGAAATCATTTCAACCATTGGAGGTTAAAGTCGTAAAATAGTCAAAATGACATCATATCACATGATTTTTCATATTTAAAAAAAAATAAAAGATGTACAATCTCAGTCAATATCACATTGATTTGTATAAAACAACTAACATTTGATTTCTCGAAACTAGGCAGATCTAATGAGCTAACATTCATTGATTTTGGATCATCTAATCACGAGATACTCGCAATTGTATTATCAGCTGAAATTATAAATCAATAAACTCTACTTTAAATAAAGAAGTCCAGATTTCAAAATACGATCGCAAATATCTCGAGATGGGATGATCCAAATTCAATGAATGTTAGCTCATTGGATTCGTCTAGTCGCA